TTTTTTGGTTCATTTGACTAACTGCCAACAGGAATGGCTTCTTGCTTGATTAGTTCAAGCATGCACAGCATAAACATATCTCCTCCACTTCTGCTTCATAATCAGTTACCTAAGGGTTTGAGCTTGATGGTTCTACTCAGCCAATCCTACTGAATTTGGTAGGTGCCTTGCAGTCTTATTTTCATTACGCCTGAGATTTTTTCGGCTGTGAATTAAATATATCAACACATACCCGACCATCATGAAGACCACCTTCAAGATGTCAGGAATTTTATGATAAATTTGTGGAACTCTTCACTGTGACTGTTCTGATTCAAATTGGGAAGGCTGTCCAAAAAAACATGCTCAACCAACGATTACTACATCTTTTCTCGACTCCAACCCCATCTTTTGGAGTGCCAAGAAACAACCATCTCTTGCTCTGTGCTGAGGAAAACTATCAGGGAATAGCTTCCGCTGTAGCAGACATAACTCTTCATGAATTACAATTCTCACTGCTAAGCAACCCAATCTTATGTTGTTAAATATTAGAACCACCTACATGATATCTAATCAGTTTCAACACACCAAGTCTAAGCATTCTGAGCTAGACATCACTCATTCGTGAAAATTCTTGGTAGTCATCTCCAAGTGACATATGCACCAAGTTCTAAAAGATTTCAGTTGTTACATATTACAATTCTCACTGCCCAACAATCCAATCCTATGAAGTGAAATATTCGCACCACCAACTGTAAACTCTTGAATAATTATAGTCAAGTGAAATATTATGGAATACAAGTACAACACAAGTCTAACAATAAGTCTTAAACAAATATAAAGGGTTATATAATGATTAAACTTCTAGGATATTTTGCTCCTCCATATGACGGTGTGCACCACCGTTAAAGAGTGCACACATTAACTATTTGCAACTCGTCCGTGAAACGGTAATAACATCCATCTCATCTGTTCTAGGTTAAAGGGATAAATATACTCTTTTACTTAACATGTACTACAATTTGTATGTATTAGTGAACACTATAATTTTGTACTATTAGAATTATACAACCTCAGTCTTATTAGACTCAAAATCTACAAGCTCATGCATACTAGAACTATACCTTGTAACATTATAAATAGCAAATACATTTGATAAATAAAATCATCTTCAACATCTTTTATACTTGTCCATGGTATCAAAGCCATAACACAAAATTTTTTCTTAGGTTTCCCTCCTGATCTTCATCCACTATGACTGGTTTCTAAAACAATATCCTCCTTTGCCAAACCACGCACAACAGGTTACTTTCCACTTTCATTTACCTGTGTCTCTCTTCTTTAAATATGTGAAGTCGACCTCCATTTAGGCTGCACACAAGTTGTTTTTTTTAAAAGGTTCATTTGTCTTGACCTTTGCCTCAGTAATGTGACTTTATCCTCAGTTCTCTCTCTCTCTCCTTAGTCACACTTCTCTCTTCTCCTTCACCAGACCATCGTGGGCTCAAGTCCTGTTTCTCCCTCCTTTGTTGCATTCAATTTGAACAATGTCTCCATGATGATTATCAACCTCAGCTTTTTGCACCTTCGGTGGTTTAGTTTCTCTCTCCTTTCTCTGTCATTGTTCGAGCACAAGACTCGGTTCTCTCTCCTAGAGCAAGATAGATCAAGCAAAGCCTTTTTTATTTGCATCTCAGTTCTCCCACTGCATATCTGTTGCCTTTGCTCTCTGCTATTTTGTGATTCTCTCATCCTCGTCATCAACTACTATTCTTGATTCACATCTCAATTTGAGGGTCTCTTCTGTTCTCGAGGCTATTCACCATCTCCAATCATCAACGACTATTCTTCTTTTTTGCACCTTTGTCTCCTCTATGTGTTTAATAAGATATCGAAACTGAACAGGATGTCCCAAAACTCATTGATCTATCACGAGATATTGTATTTTTTTGCACCAATTGGATCTCTTGGTGTTCCAGGAAGTAGAATACAGCCTCTCGTTCTAGCGCTGAGACCACATATCATGTTATTGTCTGTTCTCGAGGCTATTCACCATCTCCCGTCATCAACTACTATTCTTCTTCTTTGCACCTTTGACTCCTCTATGTGTTTAATAGGATACTGAAACTGAACAGGATGTCCCAAAACTCATTGATCTATCACGGGATATTGTAATTTTTTGTACCAATTGGATCTCTTGGTGTACCAAGAAGCAGAATGCAGCTTCTCGTTCTAGCGCTGAGACCAAATATCAGGTTTTTGCTGCAAGTAGTCTCTAATATATCTTGATTATAAAACATGCTCCAAAACTTTATTTTTCTTCATCTGAGCCTCCTATTGACAATATCAGCCTTAGTTATATAGCATTCAATCTGGTCAATCATGCTCATCCTAAGTATACTGAATTAGATATTTATTTTGTTCAAAAAAAGTACAAGCAGAACAATTAATAGTACAAATATATTTCCAATCAAAATAAACTGGTTGACATTTTTCACTAAAACCTCTATTTGGCAAGGTACAATCATTTGCGACCCAACTCTGTGTTACCTCGCACAGCTTGTGGGGAGGTAAGGGAATAAATAAATTTTTATATTAATATGTATTACAATTTGTATGTATTATCAACATTACAATTTTTGTACCATTAGGACTATACAAGCTAAGTCTTGTTAGATTAAAAATTTACATGCTCATGTAAAACCTACTTTGTAATATTATAAATAATACACATATATATGGTGAATAAAATCACTTGGAATATTTTTATACTCGTCCGTATATCACATGTTTCAGGTAGATAAAAAATTATGCATGATGATAATGGTAGTTAACCATTTAACATATGAACGTTTATAGGTCTAAACTGTTGGTAAAGCTGATGCTGAGAAAAATAAATGGTACCCTCTCAAAGCATTAGGGACAAGTACATACCAACATGGATTAGAGCATAAATATTATAAGTGAAACCCAGAACATGGAAAACAAACCTGGCATCTATCTTGAGGCCATGGAATATGTTGTTATGATACATGATCTTGTTCAGTGAATCAAAAATAGATAAACCATAAAATCATTGCTCCTCACGGCTTCCTCAATATTTATCATTACTTGTTAGCATCTTCTTATCCCTTCCAGTGACTGTTTCTTCCTGTTCCTCAGCCATCACAGGTGGAATAATTGTAGGCCCATGAATCTATAAATTACAAGTATGAAAAATAAGCCTATGAAAGTAAACCAAGCATCAAATTCTCGTGGTACATAAAACTGAGCATGTGTGCAACTGCTTACCATGGCTTGAGATTTTAATGACAAACTATCGTTGACAGGCATCATAGATGGGTCTGACGGCCTATGAAACAGCAAGTGTGCTATTGATCGATCTATGGGGTTTGTATCAGTTTCGATATCCATAAATCCAGCACAGCTGAGCAAAAATAATATTAAAATCACAAAAACACCCTAAAGAGTAATATTAGGCGAGCATCAAATCAAAATAAAATAATCTGTCAAGCAAATAACTAAGATAGCAACTCAATAAGAATTGAACCAAACACACAGTTAGAAGTAAATTTCCAACAAATAAGAAAAAATATCAACAGAGAGTAAGCAATGGATGCATACTTGCTTTTTTCTTCAGTTGTCGGCGATTGATTCACATCTCTATCATCTCCGGCATTGCCACTTAAATTCATCCAATTATGTCTTTGTTCAGCACTTCTAGCCAAGCGATACAAGCTATCCCTGATGCACAGTTTTGTCCTAAGATCCAACTGGTTCAAACATGATCAGGCCAATCAATTCCAAACACAGCAATTTAATAATATAGAATTACTAAGAGAGAACTAATGGCATTTCCTGAAAAAATGAAGCAAACACAGAATATTGTCAAACTTCATCCAATGTTGCCTTAAAGTTATGAACTTCCTTTCATATTAAGAAAGAGATTAAATGTATTCCTGTCCTCTTCTCTCAGTTAGTACTGAATATCAGATATATTACGACGTTTAACATTCATATCAATTACTATGTAAATTCTAGTTTCAATACTGCAAATAGATAACACTGCAAGTTCATTAGCATGCGGCTGAACAGGAGATGATTAAATGTTAAACATAGTTTCATATATATTCTAATAAAAATTACGTTCCTATTTATATATATATTTTTTAGGATGAAAAAAAATATAAACAATTAATTATAATTAAATGGTGTAATGTACTCTTACACATGGTGTAACGTACTCTTACACCTTTTGACCTAATTTACTATTCTTTAACACTCTCTTTCAAGTTGAGGATTAGATGTTATCCAGCATTAGCTTGCTCATAAGAGTCTAAAATACTAGTTTGTTTAAATTTTTAGTCTGCACCTCTCTCAGTTGAGAATTCGTAGGCATATATAGGATACATATTAGGTCACCCCCAAGTCTTTTTTTGGTAAAATTTCTATCAACTTTTGTATGTTTAGTGCGATTGTGTTGTACTAAATTGTGTGTAATACTTATACCATTATTCGAAATTCTGATTATGCACTTGAACTTGCAATTATATTTTACTTCGTACTTCTCAAAGTGGATAAATTGCAACTGAGAAATGTACATAATCCTGTGGAAGACCTTCTGTCTACAATTAACCCTACATAATTTGCATCAGTATAAGCCTTTATGAGCAGTTTATCACTTTTACTGAACATAATTCATTTTCCAAGCAACCCTTTTAAATAATACAGTACTCTAGTAAGCTGCTTGTAGGTGCCATTGTTTTGGATTGTGCATAACCTAACTTATGACATTCACTGCATAGGTGTATTTGGTTTCGTCTTGGATAAGTATATCAATCTCCCAACTAATCTTGAATATGTTTCCTTATTTACTAGTGTATCTTCTTCTGCTATTCCTAATTTGTGATTAAAATCAAAAGGAATGTTACCTAATTCATATGCTAGCGTGTTAGAATCCCTCAATAAGTCATAAATGTATTTCTACTGATAAATAAATATTTTGAATTTTAAGCGAGTAATTTTAATTTTCAAAAAATACTTCAACTCACTAAGTTCATTGATCTCAAATTCTTTTGTCAAATGTTGTTTTAGTATCAATTTTTCTTTCTCATTATCTCCTACTGTGATAATGTCATCAATGCATACTAGAGAGTTGTAACTCCACTATCTCTGTGTTTGATGAACATAATGTGATCTCCTTGAACTTTTT